CCCCCTCCCCCCCTGCCACAGGATGAGGGATCGATTGAGGAGTGACAAGACTGAGGAAATAGAGAGAGATTCAGGATTTACATCGTCCTCTGACACGCTCATATAAACGCCCCCCCCCCCCCTTGCCCCCCCACCAATGATAAAGAGACCACACACTGACAAGGACACCGGCTCTTGTTTAGCTGCTCCCAAGTTAAAAGATTTGCTATCTCTCCTCCCTCCTCGTCTCCCCTTCTTTTCGCAGTTTTCAGTGCAAACCGTACAACCTTTGTGAATTATTTAGTTTATTGACCTCTGCGGGGATTTAATATGAAGGTCGTTTCCTGCTGGCAGAGCGAGCGCCGGCGGGGTCCTCAGGTGACACGGCCAAGGTCGCCCGTCTCCCTCCAGTTAATAATATATTTGTCACACGCAGTGTGTTAGCCTCCAACACAGTGCTACTGCCTTCCACTTGATTAGTGCGACCAATAAGGAGTGCCAAAGATAATAAAGTAGACATTGGCTTAAGGAGATGTGTCAAATGTCCACGGCATCTCCCCCCGCACAGATACTGTGAACACCCGCATACACACACTAATTCACACCCTGTCCCCCCACACTCCTCCGCCCCCCCTTCCTCTCTGTTCTTGTTTTATTGTTTCCTAGATGAAGGTTAAAGGGAGATGCTGAACAGACAGAACAGCCTCAGGGCCATGGAGGGCCTGGCTGCCTGGCTGGCTGCAGCTGGCGGGGGTGCAAGTACCAGCAGAAGCTAAGTGTGTCACAGGGGCAAGAAGGTGAGTCAGCCAGAGCCATAGGGGCAAGTGGGTAGGTAACAGGGTCTGATGTACATGGGTGGCAGTATGGAGCTGCTGCTGCCTGACCGCCCCTGTCACTGATAATAATCACAGAGAGCTATGGAGCCTTATTATCACCACTGTTTGGCGGAGACAAAATGGCGCCCGGTACGTGAAAGCGAGGTGAATTATGGCGAGAGTAAGAAAGCGTTTCCGTTTGGTGGTAATATATATTCCGGCACCATGCTGTAATACCGTTGGTGGAGACTGTGAGGATGCAGGGCAGGAAGCTTAAATCATCATGTAGTGAGCCTGGGTGAGTCTCAGATGCAACATTATTGATTGCATCATACGATGCTGCTGATTGGAGAATATTCCGGCAGCCCTCACAGTGAGATTCCATTGTCAAAACTGAGCAGCTCTCTGTCTCCGTTTGACCTTTTCCTGAAGTAGTCTGCATGAGAAGTCGGCGCAAAGTGAGACCTGACATCATCATTACCACAGATACTGTTCTGCATATACTGCATGCTTTACATACAGATGCACTCAGTAAGTTTAGACGCAAAAAAGAAGTAAAGCTAAGCAGTCCTGAAGGTGGCCCTGACCTGCGGCTTTTTTATTTGCAAATGATGCAATATAGGAAAAAAAGATGTAATGTGACACTTTTCAATTCTAAGGTGTACTTTACAAAATGTGCACTGCAAACATGTACTGTGGAATGGTGTGTATAGACAATTTTATAAATATGTCTACACATTACTTTTGTGTTTCTGATTTTGTCTTTTTTTTTTATTTTACCTCTTACCTCCTACCTTTGATCAGCACACTATATTTTCAATCTACACTGCTAAGATTCTATTCTATTCTACTCTGTTATATTCTGCTATATTCCATTCTAGTCTGTTCTAGTCTGTTCTAGTCTGTTCTAGTCTGTTCTGGAGCTACAGTTACTGGACTGCCACTATACTTTGTTTCAGTCGTCAGTGTTAGCACTGTACTGTTTCCTGGAAATGTCAGTTGTTAGCTAGTTTCAAGCTAGCCACATGTTTCTATTCAATAACTTCATGTTTTATAGGTTTCACATGCTGCTTATGTTACTTGTTCTACAAATGAGATAGACTGCCACCTGTGGGGAAAGTCAAATGCTAACTTTTACACCTAAAGCGTTAGCATTGACAATACTGGAAACAGTTCATTAAACTATAACATACTGTACTACATTATTTGTCAGACCAAAAAAACAATAGTTTATGTCACCACCAACTGGAAACAGTTCATTAAACTATAACAAAAAGCTACCAGAATCCAAAAGTAACATTTCCAAAATTAAAGCCGTGTCCACTGTCTCTAGAATCTCACGGCTGGAGTTTGTCTGCTGTGTGGCATTGTATTTCCTTCAGCGTACATCCTGCTGCGTGCCTGAATTTAGCTCAACACTGAAAAGATCAATTCAAGGAGTAAGTGATAAAGGAAGTACGGTGTTATGAACATTTGCATTTACATTTGCGAGTAAATCCAGCTGCAACAATTCACAAGGAAAACACGGGCTTGAAAACAGGAAGTCGCCTGAAGTACTTTCCTGTTAAATGGCCAATGGACATATTTACAAATGTGTCAGTCCTGTACTGAAGCCAAAGGTAATATTAGATGTGTTGATGCCATTAGTGAAGCACAGCTGCTTCTCACAGGACTTACACAGCAGAAAATTAACATTTAATTTCTGAATTTCATGAATGGAAGCTACAGTAGCTGGTCCGCTATTAGGAACTGTCCTTTAGTCTTCTACAAAATAAACCGACATGTACCAATTTAACATTTCCTAACAAAGAAGATTTCGATTTAGCAGTGAAGTCATTCAATTCTTTAGAAAAAAATGATGTTTTAAATCAAGTCAGAAGTAGTGTCACGTACCTTGGCATTGGAGGTTGGAGTGGAGGTCCTTTCAAATCAATGATGATAGAGTCGTCTATCGCCAACTCTTCTAGTCTACATGGACAACAAATGAACAGCAGCTCACATTTACAAATGCACATAATATTGTAGGCTGCAATGATAATAAATCAGATTTAAGTGCTCAAACCAATTGCACCACAGTCTGAATGAACTAGGTCAACAGCGATGAAGAGGTGTAATTATGTGTCGTTCCACTCTTTAAAATATGATTGCTTGAACTGCACTTTGTAGTTGTTGTCAAATCGAATAAATAAAAAATCTACACCTGTAACCACAGTAAATTACAGCCAGACTGTCATTAATTCCTCCATCTAGTCCTTGGAGGCGGCGGCTGACAGTGAGTTCAGATCAACTGCAGGGATTTCAGGTTTGGGACACGCCTCCCTGGCCGCTCTAAACTAACCATTAAACCTCAACTCTCGAGGGACATTTTGTTCTTAATGAAACAACAGTAGCAACAAACCTTTAGAGACGTTCTTCGGCTGCAGTGTGGAAAAGCAAAACAACCTCCAGGTTCTCTCGGCTGTTTCCCCTGTTTCTTACTGGAGTGTTCTGAAAATCAAAGGAAATCAAAGGAAAGGACAACAAAAAGTGCCTTTGAAATGAGCTAAGGAAACTTAGTGAGCGGAAGATGGTGAAGATAATATCGCCAAATGAAACAAGAAGACGAGGGGTGAAACTCTGGCAGCGCATTAGCATGATCTATGATGCCGCTGCAGGAAGGACGCAGTACATTTTGTCTGAATGAATGGATTTGTGGGGTTTTATTAATGGCCTTCCTTTAATGTCCAGCTCTGTCCAGAGCTTGGTTGAATCCTATCTGTTTAAATCAATGTTCAGGTGTTCAGGTTGTACTCTATCATGATAATTAACATCAAAGCAGGGAGTCATGTTGGCTAAATCCAGATGAACTTATCCACCTCTGTACCAACAGAACATAGAAGACATGAGATCATCCTTTATTGTCATTGAACAGTTATTCCAGGACAACCAAACTGTACAATATGTTCCATTACTATATATTTGAGGCTGTCCGTTGCCAAAAGAACTCCAACTGACCTTATAAATTAATTGTTCTATAACTGAAGTATCGTCTTCCTGTTCCCACAGTGCTGCAATAATCAGCAGCAGACCAATAGTCTGGGTAAGGCTGTCATTCTGAGGAAGCTGTATGCAGATTTGACTGTGTATATGTAAAGGCAGTGACACCCCCCCCACTGGGGAATTCTCCTGCAGGGCTCCCCCAGGCCTGTGACTGTGAGGTCACCGGTGCAGCCACTTATTGGCCTATTCATTAGAGCGGACCGGGGCAGGAGTCTCAGGCAAGGTCTCCACTTCCAAAGTAACTCTGCAGCTCAGACCTCATTTGCAACCAGACAAGCCTATTGTAACAGCAAATAAAACAATATTGATTTTGCAAGTGGCAATGGGGCTGTGCATCTTATTGATCAGGATCAAGCACTTATCACTCTCCAGACCCAGAGTGTGCCAATGTTAAGCGCAGGTCTCAGGTCTTAATTACGACGGTGGCCTTTACACGCTCCTCCCGTCTAATGATGCTCCAATAACACCGCTGTGTTTGACCTTCAGCGCCGGCTGCTTCTTAAACACAACATTTCACACTCCAGTAATATCAAACACACAGCTGCTGCTGTTTGACTATAGGTTTATGGCGACGGAGAAGTACTTTTCCCGGCTGTCTCATCACTCACCACAGTTGAGCCCGAACAGTAGCGATCTATAGATATCGGTGACGCAACGGGTCCAGATGACCCCGTGTGCACACAGTGACCGCTCAGTTAATGGTAGCCCACGCTTCTTATCACATGTTTGACCCCAGGGGGCGTTGTAATCTCCGCGTGATCTCCGTGTTCTGCTGAGGAAGCATTCAGCTAACACGTACTGAACTTCAATTCAAAATCAAAATCAAATTGCATACTTAATTTTTTTTATCAACTTGATTTATAATAAAAACTAATAAATATTTTTCTTTTTTTGTTAATGTAACAGTGTTCAGTTGTGTATGGCTATACTAGATACAACATTATTGCCATTTAAAAAACAAACAATAAATGACTTCACAGAAGAGAACAGTAACGAAGCTTCTGACAGGGTTCACACAGACTCAGTGTTGTCATTTGGCAACAACAAAGGATTCTCGCTGTTTCTGTGCTCCGTTAGATTAAAGAGAAATCATCGTCGTAGTCCAACTGCCGCATTGTTCTTTCATGCCGTTATTACATTTGTACTTTCAAAGCTTTCGTCTTTCAACAGCTCGTAGCCACATCCACACATAAAGGGAACGGCTGCTGAATAGTCTAACGTGTGACTTTAAAACCAAGTCTGAGAGGAAATGCATTATTTTTGCATCGGTAATGACTGAATTAAACAGGTGATTTGGTTTGCGCATCAGTAATGACTGAATTAAACAGGTGATTTGAATGGGTTTCACTGGGCCCTTCACAAACCTCAGGTGCAGGTACTTGAAGATATTACAGTGTCAGACGTTGTAATTTTGAAAATACAATAATAAATACACACCTTTGGCAACATCGGTGGCTTATGAAATACAATAGACAAATGTTGTCCCAAAAAGTGAAGGTGACAAAAAGGTGCAAAACTGCCTTTTCTTCTAATTTAGTTCAGTCTTTTAACTCCAAAACAAACTGTTCTAATGTTCTTCTGGGTCAACGCTGGTGCGGTTGTTCTAGAAACACAGCATCTATCACATACCCACGAGGGTCTTCCATTGAACTATGAGCAAACATCTAATTGGACTTGAAGGCTACCTAATAAGATTTTGGGGGTCAAAGGTCAAGGTCATCATGACCTCACATCCGTCTTGTTTTTGTAAACGTAATGTGTGTTAGCAAAGCCTTCAGGAGATATGGTATACGCTGGGACAGACCAGGACCGAAAGATTAAATGATTCGATCTTGATGGTAAAATGTCAAAGTCACAGTGACACAAGTGACGAAGAGAGCTAGGACCAAGGTGAGCCACAACGCCAGCAGGTGAAATGACAAGACTGAATATAAGGGCAACTTTCATGATGAATGAAAAAGGAAGGAGTTCAGAAAAAAAAAAAAGAATGTCAACTGTGGTTAAAACCATAAGAGGAAGAAGACGACAAAATGATGAAGTGAGATCAGAGATTGTTTTTCCACAATGTCAAGAGGTGAATTTCACTTTGTCGCAATGATATCGAGGCGAAACTAATGTTCCAGAAAGATCAGACTTCACATCGTCCTTCTTTACAAAATCACAATTTTTTTTAAAGCTGTGCTAATCTGATAGCATAGGCACTAGCTAACGAAAAAAATATTAAACTGCCTTAAAATATTAACAACAATAATAATAATGTGCTATTAATACATTTATAAACATAAAAAATATTTTAAAATATATAAATATAAAATATTGACATTTTACTGTCAAAGAGTAAAAATTAACTTCTTATCTATACAAAATGTTTGTTTTTAAAAATAAACAATACTCTTTTTATAGAGGGTAATTTCTTTTTTTAATCTACATGTAACTTTATCAATGATATTTATAAATACCCACGAATACTTTTCCACTGGGGTTTTTCCAGTGTGGCGACATCAAGGGAATTCCTTAAAGCTGGAGAACAAAAGCAGTAAAAATAAATAAATAAATAAAACAAACTAATCACAGTCATGAATATATTGACTTAAACAACCCTTAAAAAAGAAACCAACATAATGCATGAATAGGTAAATATATTGTGTATTTTCTCAAAGGGCAGGCTTTGTTTTGGATTTGAAAAGAAGAAAAAAAAGGAAAGCTCCTTATTGTGTATTCTGAATGTCACAGCTGGATTTCCACCGACAAAGCCTCGGTCTGCTGAACTTACAAAACGGTAAATGCAGCAGTGATCTCAGTCTTACATTAGTGAGCTAAGAGCTAGCTTTGCCACTCAAGGTTCATGTCGTCAATCGGTGAATCTCGCTGCTGGGTCAATCAATGGCTCCTCTACCTTCTCTCCCTCCTCCTCCTCCTCCTCCTCCTCCTCCTGCTCTCTTTCCACTGATCGTCTCAGATCAGTGGAGGAGGGAGAAAAATCAATGAAGTAAAGTAATCACTTGGCGGAAGATACAGTGAAGGCCCCAGGCCCACCCAGCTACCTGAGTTCCATTTCACGCATCAGCAGCTGCAACACAAACACACAGAGCTAGCCTGTACTTCCGTCTTAAACAACACGAGCAGCCCACTTCTCTGTACCTCCGTGACCTATTCCTCCCCAGAGGAAATTCCCAGATTGCACTGCAGCTCAACGCCACTGTCTGCCCAATAGCTGCCTATTGATCTGCCGTCCTACACCATCAGGGGCTGACAGCCGCGGCCGTTCCACATTTCCAAAATGCCAAAGTGGCAAAAAAAGTGCCTCCCTCCCTCCCTGTGACATCATCTCCGAAACGTGCACAGGAAGGATGACATGGTCAGCCCATACAGTGGCTGAGCCAGTCAGCACTATATATATATATACATATATATATACATATATATATATATATATGTATGTATACATATATATATATATATATACATATATATATACATATATATATATATATATATATGTATACATACATATACTGTATATATATATCAAAACTATGTGTCTTCATTTATAATCAGGGATTCACCTTCACAATGAGGAGGCGGTGGCATGTTTGTACTGTTGCTGCTGCTGCTGCTGCTGCTGCTGCTGCTGCTGCTGCTGGAAGATAGATAAGCCGAACAAGAACACGAGGAGTGTGTTTTTTAAAAGGTGCTGAAGTCATTACGGAGTGTTGCATTGTGGTCTTTATTTGAAAATAAGTTTACAGTTCATTACAAACGGAGAATTTAGCTGCACGTAAGGACAACCAGGTCGGCACCACTTTCTCCATGTTTTATTCACCGCCGCTACTCCGGCTGGATGTTGTTTGTTTCCCTTCAGTCATGTGATAAGAGCATGACAAATCTACCAATGATACACTGTGAATGATAAGACCCAATCAACAACCAGGATTCTGCGTCATCAGTTTTTGGAGGGAGAAGACGGACGGCCGTGTCCTTCATCGAAGTTTGGATTTTTAGGCGGTCGTCAATATTTTTATTTATTAATAGACAATAAAACATCATGAACATTTGGAATCATATTATCATGTCGTTGTTTAGTCTGATGTGTTGTTGTAGCCTGTATCTCTCTCTATATATACTGTATATAGGCTTAAGTGCATGTAGATGTTATTGTTATTATCAAATCTGTGGTTGGCAGACAGACTGAGATCATGAAACAGTATCTCGTGGCCATGACCTGAAAACTTATCTTTTCTCATTCTTCGATTCCTTCACAGTTTTAAATTCCAAATAATAAAAAAAAACTTATACTAGTTCCCTCACAGGAATATTCAACAATATGACCGCTTGTTCCTTTACTCTCCTTTACTTTAGCGATGGTACAAATCGACGACTTGGCTGAAGCCATCTGATCTGAAACACGAAATACCGGTAACATCAGACACCAGTTCTTGGCGTGTATATCTGAGTAAAACTGACGCCACACACTCAGTCACTCAGTGATCACTTCCTGCCCGCCTGATATTGTTGGCCTGTTCGGCGACCGAGTTATGGTACGACAACTTTGGTTAAAATCTTGTACGTGAACTGAATTGTTTGAAAAGGGAGGCGTTCGACAACCGAGATGGGTATTCTGTTCCCTGCTCTCTGCAGGTCACTGCTCCATCACTGTTCCCTGGTTGAATTAGTCATGTGACCACTGTTTCAGACCAGTTGAGTGATAGTTTACATTCTGACCCCAGCCAGTCCTGTCCTTTTCACCCCCTCACTAATGTAAAAGCTGCCCAGCCTCCCTCAGTTTGGCTCAGGAGTTTGTTTTACTTTGATGCTAGGTAGGCTCCATTTAACGTGACATATATCAAAGCAGGACACCATCTGCTGTGATGTTTTTCTGAGCGAGTCCCCTCACCCAACCTCCCACACCCTCTGACTTCAGCACTCAGAGGGGAAACATCCGTCTTCTGCAAAGTTGGTTTTTTTTTTTTTCTTCAGAATTTATGAGTTTGTGGCATCTCCTCCTTTCCGTTTTGATGTTGAGCTTCAGAGCAGGTGTACACATATTCTCAGAACTTAGCCACAAGGTTAAATATTTTTGCCAAAACAAGCTCCGCCACGGCAGGCGGGAGTTTCTTTTTTGAGGGCAGAGTGGCCCCCGTGCTGCCGCCGGGACGTGATCACTGTCAAGGCCAGGTCCCTGGAACAGTGACAGCAGAGAGATTACCGAGCGGTAAACTTAAGGCTTCGCCTTTAGCTTATAGGCAGAACATGTTCCTGAGTGGTGCAGGGTCACCCTGATCTCAGATGACTCTCCTCCTCCTCCTCCTCCTCCTCCTCCTCCTTTCCCCTCTCCTTGTCTGTATTTTTTGTGATGTTATCTCTCCCCTCTCCTCCCACTCACTGCTGTTCCCTGAAGCTGTCTCGGGGATGAACGCCTCATTGTTTTTGTCCTTGCGCTGCTTTCCAGAAGCGTGTTTCTGGTTATGGATGTGAGCGGCTTCACACTCTGCTTGACCTTTCTGTTTCAAAGGGAAGGGAGGTCACGTCTGCGCTAATTACACTTCATTCATTTAGTTTGAAAACGGATCTAAAGAGTAGTTTGATTTGATGCATTTTTATTTGTTTATTTCTTACATCACCTCGTGCTGACGTGTGACCTTGACGATCGGACGATTCACCGAGTCGAAATTGTTTTTACTTTTTTGACTTTTTTGACTTTTTAAAGTTAAGTTTTGTAGATTATGCAAAAACACTATACATATGACTTACAGATCACATTGTGTGTTTTTTTTTGTTGTTGTTTTTTTCAAACTGCCGACTTCTTAATCAATCGCCTTGCAGTT